TATAGGCATTTACGCGTGCGCGTAAGACCTTTACGGCTGCAAATATTCATGTGCGCAAGCGCATAATACGTTTACGCCTGCGTGTTTAATGTATAACGGATGGTATAAGCTAAAATTATCTAATTCAGTTAATGTTGCAGATTGCGTTGTTCCTTAATCTTCGAATTGGATCCGGCTTATTATTTTTTGCAGACTGTTAGAGTAATTTTATGAAAGTAAGCTTGAACTTTCGATTATGTCAAATAGAATTTCTGATATATATTTACTAATATGTAAAGGATCTACAAAACGAAAGTAGGATTTGAAATCCGAAATCTGTTTATCAATTTCACCCTGCTTTGCGGCAGGGGGGAATGAGAAACGCCGTGGCGCGCAATGAATTGGAAGTTGATCTGTCAGCGCTATCCTTATCTTCAGGGCAGATGTTTTTATTTTAATTGGCTTATAATTTTTTACTAAATGTAGTATTTCATCTCAATGTACTCCGTCTTTGATATGATTTAAATCAGTTCCTCGTCATTATAATTCGCTTCTGGTAGTGAAGAAAGTGAGAGAGAGGTTATTGAAAACGAAAACATTTCGATTGCAAATTAGTCGGTATTCTCGACACAGCAGTTATAGGACTTGAACAGCGGAACTATGTCACTAAACAAGAAATTATGTCTGTTTAATAGAATTAAAGAAAAACTATTGTCACATGAAATGAAGCAACTTAAACAACTTACATTGAAAGAAATGTTTAATAAAGTAAACAAATATATATTACGCTTTTTCTTTTTGTAAATTTTGATACCCTTTAAATCATAATTGTTCTTTATTTCATAAATTACGGTTTCATATTTTTAATTTTGTAATATCTGCATGCCATCTTACCAAATTTAAACTCATGATCTATAATCCGGAATCGCCGAAGTCCTGACGAGTCCGGATTAACGACTTTTGACTGTATTTCATTATATGGGCAATATGAGAGGATGTTGAATGACCTTGAACACTGATAACCTAGATGTTGTGCAGACTGTGAAATATTATTTATTCTCATAAAAAAGTATATGTGTTGAGGTTTTGGCTCAAAAAATTCCTTTGAAGATCCTGTTAGTTATGGATAATTTAGTGAATACCTGTAAAGTTTATCAAAATTCTTTACACCGGATAAATCATTTTATTCTTTATAGCACAGGGCTTCTCAACGAAGGGGAAATTTTATAGTTTTAGAGGTTATATTTTATTTTAAGTATTCTGTTTTAGTTTATGAATTAAAAAAAAATATTCAAATTTTGGTATTTATAATTTTTGGTACTTTTCCATTTTGAGGATAGTAAAAAATTGCAGCAAAAATGTATACGCAAAAGCACCAAATCTAGCAATCGTGCCCATTTAACAAAGCGCCAAATCTAGTGTATTCTCTGATTTCAAATTACATGAGTTTAGATAGTTTGGTGTTTCTTAAGACGACATTGAAATGCTAGTTTAATTTTTAAATCCTTTTTTGGTATCATATGGATTTAACAGTTTTGGAATTGCCAATGAGGAAAAGTCTGTAATAGAATTTTTTCAAAGAAAAAACATCATTCATTATAGAAAATTATGTTTGAACAACCAATGAGATAAAATTATGCTTTAGCTATAACTGGGTAGCAATGCAGGAATCCATTCAGTTATGTTTAGTCTTTTTTGTATAATAATGATGTGAAATCGTTAATTACTCTCATGATTCCATTCAGCTATGTTTAGCCTTTTTTATATAAATTATAATAATAAAATGTATTAATGTGAAATTAACCTTTCTTTAAAATTAAAACAATCTTTGGTACTTTTCCGTTTGGCCGGCGCAACTTCCCATTTTGGCCGGCACAAGCAATAAAGTCGTTGAAAATGATACAACTGATGCCAAACCAAATATCCTCGCTGATAACCTTTCACACCACTTTTTCAAAACAAGTCGCTGCTATTTCTTATCAGATTGATGGTTTCTTTCAATATTGGCATACAGTTAAATAGAATTTTTTAAATTATAATATTGAAGTAGTTCTTGCATTTAAACTCTAATTCCATACTAAGATTTAACTTGAAATTAATGTAGATAATTACTGAAAGAATTTTGTTACGTAGTTTATGTGAAATGAGATCATTTGGGATCACGTGATATTAACCGGCGAATCAAAATGTTGTACCATGAAAACATAGTAAATTCTTAAATTAATGTCTTTTTACAATTATGTCAAAAATGGATGAAAAAACCAATAAAAATTTGCAATAAAACAAGTATACGGAAAGGCACATGGTTTGAATCATCGAGATTGAGTTTCTTGAAGTGTGTAAGATTTATTTATGATTGGAGTGAAGAATTAACTTCAGTTAAATGGTGTGAAAAGCAGTTGGAAATCAGTCACGGAACAGTTGTAGATTGGAATAACTGCATGCGAGAGGTTTGTATGGATTCTTTACTTAAACGTCAACAAAGCAAAATAGGAGGACCTGGTATGATTGTTGAAGTGGATGAAAGTATGTTCATGAAGCTCAAAAACAACGCAGGATGGACTTTTACCACAACAGTGGATCTTTGGTGATATTTGTCATGAAACAAACATATGTTTCCTTGTGAAGGTGCCAAGCCGATCCATGACTATTATATTAGAGGCAATAAATGAAAATATCGAAAAAGGAACTACGATATATTTTGATTCATAGAAATCATATTGCAATGAAAAACTGGAAGAGGAAAGTTTCGAACATTTCAAAGTGAACCATAAATACGATTTTGTAGATCCGAAAACTGGAATATACATGCAAAAAATAGAAAGAGTATGGGGTAGCACCAAATGGCGGAATAAGAAACACAGGAACGGCAAGTCATCATCTGGAAAGTTATCTCGCCGGATTTATATGGCGAAAGGACACAAAAGACCCTTTAGAAAAATTTTTAAACCCTATTAAAATAAAAAATTTCTTAGAACTAGCATTTGTTAATAATGTTACGAAATGTACAGGTGCGGTGAAACGGCTTCCCCACAAAGCAGTTTTAGGGTTGCTATAAAATGGCAAGGGAAGGCAGGGATGGTGAGAAATCGCCCATTTGGTGACAAAATTGGCGATATACCATGGACGGTTGGAGAACCTTCTGGAACAAATTCTTACTGGTTCAGTCCAGAATGTTCCCGAACACAAGCCGAAAGCTATATAAACCGTGCTTGTCTGCAGTAAGTGTCTCTCATCAAGAGTGTGCAAGCCTCGTCTAGCGAGTCAATCCCTGCGGAGTCGATAGAGTTGACAGCTGGGTAGCGAGTGCCGAGTGGATCGTCGAGTCCACTGAAGGAGTCTGTTAGTGTATCGCGGTTAGTGCATCGTCGAGAGAGCGTGTTGAGCTCCGGGAAAGACTGAACCGAAGAGTCAGGAGCTATGCTTGTGTGTCGTCGAGTGCATTGCGAGTTGTAGCGTGTAGAATCTTGAGAGTACATGAAGTTCCGAGAACGACCGAGCACAGTCGAGAGCTGTACTCTAGTGCTTTGCAGTGAAGCTGTCTCCACCGTGATAGCCTGATAACCTGAAGGCTGTGTCGCTGATCGTGTCAGCGTGTTTATAGTAGTTCATCGACGACTGTAAAATGTGTTTTGGAGCTGTCCTGACAATTATTGATAAATAAAGTGTGTTTTCGATACTTCATAAAGTGTCGTTGTTATTCACTCCAAATCCACATGAACCTCATACGATCGTGAAGGAAGAAAATAACGCAACAACTGAAGTCAGAAGAATAGGAAGAGAAAATAACGTAACAATATTTTTATGTGTATACTGTATGTTATCACCAATAAAGTCTGCTTGGCAAGATTTGCGATGGAGAAACTGAAATGGCGAGGTTTGTGCCAGCAAAACCGAAAAGTACCCAATCTTTAGATAGTTATTTACCATTATACAGTCAAAAGTCATTAATCCGTACTCGTCGGGTTTTCGGCGATTCCGGATTATCGACTTTTCCGGATTATAGATCATCAGTTTAAATCTCGTAAGATGGCATGCAGAAATTCTAAAATTAAAAATATGAAACCTTAATTTATGAAATAAAGAACAATTATAATCTAAAGGGTATTAAAATTTACAAAAACAAAAACAAAAAAAAAAAAAAAAAAAAAAAAAGCTTAATATTTATTTGTTTACTTTATTAAACATTTCTTTCAACGTAAGTTGTTTTAAGTTGCTTCCTTTTATGTGATAATACTTTCTCTTTAATTCTATAAACAGACACAATTTCTTGTTCAGTTACAAAGTTCCGCTGTTCAAGTCCCGTTAATTGTTGTGCCGAGAATACCGACTAACTTGTCAATTGAAATTTTTTCGTTTTCACTAACCTCTCTGTCACATTCTTCATGTCTTTATCCATTTTTTGCAGCAATTCCACTTTTTGTTTGATGGACATCGAAACATACTTTCGTTTTGTACGATCCTTTGCGAGCTCTAGAATCGGAAATTCTATTTGACAAAATCGAAAGTTCAAGTTTACTTTTATAAAATTGCTCTTACAGTCTGCAAAACATAATAAACCGGATCCAATTCGAAGATTAAGGAACAACGCTATCATCAACATTAACTGAAATAGATAATTAGATAATTTCAGATTATACTGTCCGTTATACATAAAACGCGCACGTGGAAATGTATTCTGCGTTTGCGCAAACGCATATGCGCATATTCATTTTTCATTGAAAAATTCTACAGTACTCTCTGAAGTTAAATAATAATAGAATTTTAATAAAAGTGACTTCAAGATTGAATTTTTTAAGTCAGTTTTTAATGTGTAAAAAGTATTAAAATAAGCAGAGGAGTAAATTCAGATATATTTTACACTTTTATTACTAAATAAAGTTTTGTAGTTGCTTTATATATTTAAAAAATGTGTATTTCCAAGATGCATAATAAAATGATTTCAAACAGAATCCTTCCATATTTTATAATTTTGCTGTAATTTTTTTTACATATTTTTCATATGGTAATTTTTTTATCAGGTGAGTTCAACAGAGTTGGTACAAGAAATTCATCAAATGTTGATGGATCGAGAGGAGACTTGTCACAGAACATGCTTTTCTCTCCAGTTAGATGGAGTTACAATGGACAATTTTGCTGAACTTAAAACTATTGAAGGCTTAAAAGATGGTTCTGTGATTAAAGTAGTAGAAGGTATTTTATTTTTATTTTAAGAAATCATTATGAAGGTAGTTTTGGCAAAAAGAGATCTAATTTCATATTGAAATTTTATAACTTGTTGTAATATTTTGGTAAGAAAGGCTGTTAAATTTATGAAATTTCTCAATTCTCACAGGTTTATTTAATTTGAAACTATTTTTTTTCTTTTACCTGCTTTTAAAATATTAACAGGAACTAACAAGAAAGCCTTGAAACTATGGCATAAATGTTATGTAGAGAACTATTAAAGCATAAAAGCTTCATTATTCAGTTTTATTGCTTCTTTGTCATTAACTGACCATGTTTTAAGAATTTCATCACAGCTTTAAAATAACCATTTGCGTTCAATTTTTGAAGTGAAATGTAAAATTTTTGATTGGCAATTTTAAATTTGTTTAAATTTTTAAGAAAAGTGCCTGCCAATTCTTGCATGTTTATCTTGCAATTTTCGCATGTTGAAGTTAACATGTTTAATGTTATAATATACAAAGTGAATAGAAAAATTTAAAATATAGCTTGAAGAAGTGCATTATAGTATAATTTTCTTAAAGCAACATAATGTTTCTTTCTTAATCGGTAAAATAGCCTTTGATGTCTTAAAATCCCTTATAATTTAGAAACTGACCAAAGTGAAATTAAAATATAGTGTATAATGTAAGTATTTAATTTTTTGAGAAACGTTATTTTTATTTTGCCGTTCACTATACCATATTTACTTGTGTATCCTCCTTTTAACTAATTTTATCATATGAAAGTCAAGAATAGCACATTATGCTAAGGTGGAAACTGCGCGAGTAAATAACAGTAATGATTTTTCAGGAAATTACTTCATGAAATCAAATTTTGAGCTTAATTTAATAGTATTTTAATATGTAGATTTAAACCAGTAAAAGGGAGTTGCCAGATCGGTTTCTAAAAATTATTTTTCCTGAAAACCTAGGTTTATTTTTTGTTGCTTCATATTAGTAACTATGCTTACTTCAAGATTTTGAGCAGCTATATCTTTGCAATGTGTTTCAAATTGCCTTTGGAAACAAAGAATACAAATTTAATTTTCAGCCCATACTTTATGCTTTTCAGGCAGCACTCTAGCTTTCAGTAATATCTGACTTAATTGAAATTTTGCTTACCCTGTGTTTTGGAGAAATTATGTTGAATCACAGAGTTCATAAATTGGTCATTTCCAGTTCTTCAAAATTCCTTCTTTTTTCATATTGGGAATTAAGTGTTGGGCCATCTGAAAGTTCTACAGTTTTTTGATAAATACAAATGAGACAGTGGAAAATCTTAAGCCATTTTTATTGAATTACATAAGGGCCATTTTATTTTGTGACTTTCTGCTATCTTTCAACCAGCTAGAAAATTCTTTTTTAAACAAATCATTAGTTTTTTGTAAAGAAGTTATTGAATTGTTGTTAGACAGTCTCAAACAAGTGAACTCTGTGCCATTCAGAGAATTCTGAAATGTGTGGTGATGGTGATAAGGAGCGCGCCTTGCGTCCTCCAATAAGTGTGGCAACCCCTAGAGGAGAAGTTTCTTATGAGTAGCGAGCAGAGCGAGACAGGCCGGCTGTCAGGGAGTGTGCGCGAAGTTCCGAAATAAAGCTTAATTTTTAATTGTGCACTATGTCTTGTTAATATTCATATTATGTAGTAAGAAGAACACAATCTGTGATATGGAATTCGAGGATTGGTGGTAAAACATATAGGAAATCACTATAATGGTAACCCGGACTGTGTTAAATCAAGCCGTATGAACAGTTCTCAAGCACTTTTGGTTTTGACTGCAAGCCATCACTCAAGATCTCCAAACCAGAAGTAATGGATTACATCGGTTTTCATCCTCCGAATCACAGATGAGTAGTAATTATAGATCATTTTATAATTCTGTTTTCTACTTATCATTTAATTTCATTTTCTTTAGTTACATTTTTGCTTTTATTTTGGCTTAAAAAACCTTGCACAATGTCTGATGTTCATGCCGTCCAAATTCCGGTTTATAATTGATCAGACCCATCTTTATGGTTTATTATGTGTGAAGTACCTTTGCTCTTGCCACCCCCAAACCTATCACAGAATCCATTACTAAATATAATTATGTAGTTTCTCATCTTACTCCAGATATTGCATCAATAGTACGGGATTTACTTATGAAACCAGACCCTATTGATCCATATGCAAAGCTCAAAACTGAGTTAATAAATCGTTCAGGAGAATCTTCTCAGCAAGAAATTCGCCAATTATTATCTGGAGAGGAATTAAGTTCTCGAAAACCTTCCGATTTGCTTAGAAATATGTAACATCGAGCAGAATTTTTAAATGTTCCTGATAACTTAATGCTAGAATTATTCCTTCAACGTTTGCCTTCGACTGTTCAGTCTATTTTGGCAGCGGTTTCCAGTTTAACTGTAGATAAAGCTGCGGAAATTGCTGACAGAATTTTAGAAGTAAATCCAACCCCAGGGACTTGTGCCGTTTCTCGCACAGTCGATCAGTCTCTTGAGGATAAATTATTTAAACAAATAGAAAAATTAACGTATTGGCCGCATTTCTCTTTCTCGTGGTCGCTTGCCAAATCGCGGAGATCACAATAAGGAAAGAAGCAACTCCAAAAGGAGAGATTATTCTGTTTGCTGTTATCATAGACGTTTTGGGAAAAAGTGTAGAGAAGACAAATGTACAAAACCTTGTTCATGGCAGGAAAATGAAACCAGCAAAGAATAGAGGCGACTTATTCTTTGCCTCAAGTTTCACGTCGCCTGTTCGTTCGTGACCGTAGAACAAACCTTTCATTCTTGGTTGATACCGGCTCTGACGTGTCCTTACTTCCAGCAAATAATTCTCAAAAACGGAATTCGTCCCAACAAACACTTTTCGCTGCTAATTCTTCCATTATTCATGTTTATGGTCAAAAAACACTTTTGTTGGATTTCAAATTAAGACGACAGTTTACATGGACTTTTCTTATAGCAAATGTTAGTACACCCATTCTTGGAGCAGATTTTCTCCATTTCTTTGAATTGGTGCCTGATCTCAGAAACAAATGTCTCAAAGATTTAAAAACTCAGTTTAAAAGCGTCGGTTGCGTGAAAAATGCAAGCATTTATTCAGTAAAAACTGTGTTTAGTGATACACCATACCACAAACTTTTAAAAGAATTTCCTTCAATTACTAAATTATCAGATCCTAACCAACCTGGTGATGTTAAACACAACACCGTTCATTATATCATAACTAAAGGTCCACCTGTGGTTGCAAAACCTCGTCGGTTAGCTGCAGATCGCTTAAAAATAGCAAAACAAGAATTTCAAACTATGATGCAGTTGGGGCATTTGAGACCTTCGAGCAGCAATTATGCATCCCCACTTCACATGGTTCCAAAAAGGGAAATCTGGAATGGAGACCTGTAGGAGATTATCGAGCATTGAACGCGCAAACAATAAAAGACAAATACACTATTCCATGCTTAGCCGATTTTACTGCTGCATTGCACGGTACTAAAATTTTTAGTCATGTCGACCTGATTAAGGTATACCATCAAATACCGATTAACTCAGCCGACATCCACAAAACCGCCATATGCACACCATTCGGTTTATTCGAAAGTACCCATATGCAATTTGGCTTATGCAATGCATCCGCGACTTTTCAACGTTTTATAGATGAAGTCATGTGGGATTTAGAAGGTGTTTACGCTTTCGTCGATGACTTGCTCATAGCCTCTAAAGATCCTGAGAAACATTGCAGGCATTTGAAAGCTTTATTTTCCAAACTTCAGGAATATGGACTTTGCATAAATGTTTCAAAATGCACCTTTGGTCAAACGTCTATTGATTTTCTTAGGTTTTCACCTTAGCGAAAACGGAATTGAACCTCTTCCTGACAAAGTCAAATGTATTTTAGATTTTCCTCAACCTACCACTCTCACTCAGCTTCGCCGATTTTTAGGCATGTTTAACTTTTACAGATGTTTCATACCTAAAGCAGCACATATTCTTTCTCCTTTAATAAAATTATTAGAAGGCTATATGAATAAAAAGAAATCTCATTCTCGTGTTCAGGATTCATCCCCACAATTAAATTGGAACGAGAATGCTGAACAAGCCGTTATTGCTGCCAAAAATGCCATTGCTCAGGCTACCCTTTTGAGACACCCTGTTCCCGGAGCCCAGCTAAGCATCTGGGTAGATGCCTCAGACGTCGCAATAGGCGGCACACTTATGCAGTTGTCTCAACAAACATGGGAACCTATAGCATTTTTCTCTATGAAACTCAATAAAAGTCAACAGAAATGGTCCGCGTACGATAGGGAATTATTTTCAATTTATTCTGCAATTAAGAAATTCCGACACATGTTAGAGGGCAGAAATTTTATAATTTATACAGATGAAAAACCATTAATATACGCTTTTAAACAGAACCCTCATAAATGTTCACCTCGACAATTGCACCATTTAGATTTTATTTCTCAGTACTCTACTGATATTAGGCATGTGCAAGGTTCAAAAAACGTCGTTGCTGACGCTCTTTCGAGAATCGAAATTGATTCCATAACAAAATCTCCATTTTTGGATTTTAAAAAATTTTCGGAAGCTCAACGGCATGATCCGGAGGTACAAGACCTTCTCAAAAACAACACATCATCTTTAAAACTTGAATTTAAACCATGCCAATATTCTGATGGTAATATTCTTTGTGACATATCAATGGACATTCCTCGTCCGTTTGTTCCGAATTCCTTTCGCAGACTCATCTTTAATCATCTGCACAATCTGTCACATCCAGGAATTGCAGCTACTACGAAGCTTATTTGTTCTCATTATGTATGGCCTGATATGAAACGTCATATCAAAAATTGGGTGAAATCCTGTGAATCTTGCCAAAAATCGAAAATTACTAGGCATACTAAAGCACCAATGGGCACATTCTCTTTTCCTGATGCACGTTTTTCAGAAATCCATATGGATATCGTCGGACCGTTACCTCCATCAGAA